TATATATATATATATATATACTCGCCTTTTCCCGTTTCTTTCCCCTTGCTCACTTCCTTACTCCCCTCTCGCAGATAGTATCGTCCACGGCATCAGTCGCACGGTGAAAAGTTTGCCAGCCAAATGACCGTATTTCAGCCGAAACTTTTCCACCCTCCCGAGGCACAAAATGTGAATTTACGCCTATAATACACGCGCACGCGTGCGTGCAAACCTACCCGCGTGTGCGCGTCCGTTAGTATGTGTGTACGTGTATTTATGTGACGGTAAAAACGCGTATTATAGCCGTATGATCATATTTTGTGCTTTGGGGGGGGGGTGAAAAGTTGAGGCTGGATACCAGCCATTTGCCTGAATAAAATTCACCAGGCTAACGAGGTCGTAGGCGATACCATTTCGGAGAGGGGGATCACTTATTCCCGAGAGAATATAACATGATAGGATATAGATTGAAGTACCATATTATACATAGATAGACATAGATAGACATATCAGATATAGATAGATAGAATCTTCTTTATATGCTCTTGATAGAATACTAGATATTGACTGAAAAGATATATTGGTCTTTTCTTGGTTTTTCGTGATGGTTGATTCTATATGGTACATTATTACTGGCATTTACTGCTAGGTACTCAGTTATAAATGCCCTACAAAATAGAAGCAGCTAGGACATATAAGAACATCAATGCATAAAGAGCTGCATATCCCAAAATTAAATTCCCATAAAACGAATGTCAACTTTTGTACTAAACTCATTAAGCAGGTGTATGTGAGCAACTTTCCTTACCTAGTTGTTATTTACCGTACTACTCCTTTGATGTCAGTCGCAAACATCGATGTTTTGATCAGGTTAGGATATATATTATATATATATATACATAAATATATATATGTGTGCATGTACACATTTATGTCTTCAACTATGCAATGGTTCACGGCAGACATACATACAAGAAGATATCACGTGTTATCACTGATTTTTTATGTTCATGGATATGATAAGAATTTCATGCTTGGCAACAAATCTCACAATGTTGTTTTTATATACAGACCTCCTTGTTTATTACAGTTACACTGTACATTTCAATATATTTACAAAAATTAAAAATAACAATTTCACAGCTCACATTCAAGCTGATATATTGTTTCTATTGTCTATAATAATAGGATATACCCCTATTACTGTATTATTACTGCAAGATACCTGGTAGTGGATTACCACTACAGAAACCTCTCATAATAGATAACACATAATAACCTAATTGTACAACTTCGGTTGTTAGGATATAAATTTGCTCTTTTTTTCATTTAAATTAACTTCAAATTTGAACTAGTTTTTCGAATAACCAAACATGATGACATTACTATACTTTTTTATAACCGTTTCACCATGAATATTACCATGTATATATATATATATATATATATACGTCAGTATACATACGTTCATGATAACATTCACATGAACAATTCCTCCTGTTATAATTAGGCTACATTACTGCCGATACATGGCGCCACGTGTCTCAGATCGGTTGCTCGTCACTGTCATTACCACTATCCTTATCCCAGTCCTTCATTTTTGCACCTAGCATAAAGTCTTCTCTCAACGCATTCCATGCTGGCTTAGTCTCATTTGAATCCTCTTTGATCTAAATAAAGAATAAAGCTTAATGGTTAACAGACTGATCAAGAAGTTGCAAGTGCCTGCATTGGCACATGACTGCGTGAGAGCGTGTGCACAGGTATGCAGGTGTGAACACATTCCTAAGTGTAAGTGCACACAAGCTTACGTGTGTGCATGTGTTTTTGTATATGTCATGTCTATACATGCGTGCGTACGTGTATTACTACATGAGTGTGTCCACACGTCTACATGCCTACACACATGCCTATGTACATGTGTACACATGCCTACATGGCTACATATGTGTGTGAGCATATCATACCTGTACAGTTGGTCTTTCCTTCTCGGCTCCTCCTTTGAGCATGTCAAGGAAGCGACCCTTTGTGAGGCTCTTCATGACCTTGTCTTGCTTGCGAATGGAACTTCCCGCCACCTTCATCTCGTCCTCTATCCGCTTCTGCTGTTGCCGCACTGCGTTGAATAACTGGACCACTCCTCTGTGCCAGAAGAATTATGTCATGTCACATTATATTACATTTCATTGCATTGTGTTAGATTATATTACAATATATTACATTGTATTACATTATATTATATGTATTACATTACATTATGTCACATCACATTATGCCACATTACATTAAATTTGCAGTAAAATCAAAGTACTTTTAGATTTATATTTACAGTACAGTTAAGTCTGCATTACATTGCATTACAGACTACTGAGAAATTTATTTAGACTAACTTTGGGATTATCTGTACTTTAATGCCAACTGCACATATGGTATGTATAAGGTGAGTCAGGATTGTCCAACATTTTTGGATATCTCACTGAGTGTTCTAAATATAACCGCCACAAAAATCGGATCACCTAGATATTCCATCTTTTTTCAACCCCTCACTAATTAGAATTTCATTGGGCACCTGTTGCCAAGAGCTATAAGTGTTACACCGTCTAATCCTACCTTGTTGCTGTTCGAGCGAGGTTTTTCTCCTTCTCCTTGTCAGTGACCTTTGGTTTCACATGTCCATAGTCATCCCATTCAGCTTTCTAGAATAGAGGTTATATCCAGAAACAAACCATCAGCTGACCGAATATCTCATGTCAGTACAAAAGAAAAAGAGAATGCTTGGGGGGAGAGCAGCATGCTCGAAAGAGATTAAGCATTTACAGAGTACCCAGTGCAAGTAGGTAATAAATAACTTTTTTACATATATATTAAATCCATTTGAATATGTGTGTGTTACTTTATTTGATTACTTATATTATAATTCTATTAGCTATATTGTTATATATTATTATGCACAGTTGTAACATCGTAATAAACACATTCACTGGCGCCATCACTTATTTAAAAATTATTTAATTATTTATGAGACACTCTCAGAGTATAAGAATACCTCTTTTCGCTTTGCCTTGCTAGGAACACCTGAATCAGGCTCCTCTGCATCTCTCTTTGCTGCTGTTGATAAAGAATCAGCTTCTTCTGTCTTCTTTAGTCTAAGGAAAAAAAGATGTATATTAATTACTTATTTGTTTCACGCACACATTATTTACGAGAAGTACATTATATCTCCACGAATAAACTGTTTACAAACACGTATTCTTACAGCAGAAAGCTTGAAATATTTTACGATAAAATTTTTAGTATAATAAAACAATTATGGTGCCAAAATTGCCACGTATAGCGCGAGCGCATACTTTTTGTCTCTACTAGGAGCTTTACTGAGAATCGCAGACTGTGCAGCACCGGCACTTCGGGAAAGAATCCTCTCCATAACATCAGCCATGCCAGTCTTTTCCATGCCGTGTGTGTGTGCTTCTGCCAGCTCTTCATTTTGCTCTTGTGATTCTGGCACATTATCATTAGCCTTCTGCTTGTTTGCAGTGTCATCACAACTAACATCTGAAAGACAGTCACAGCCTTATTTATGAAACACAGTTGTTTTTAATAACCTAGGTGTTGTTTTAATATTGCCATATTGGTACTGATAACAAATAACGGATAAAAGATTGGGAAATTAACTAGCTATAGTATTGTAGAGATTTCGAAGGGTGTAACTCACATGAGCAGTAGACTAGATCAGGATGGATAGTTTGAACTCGCAGTATAGATAGAATAACCATATATTGACTAATGACAGGATAAAATATAGACTGCATGAATAAAACGATCAACACCTGGGTGCAGCCATCTTGGATCATACGGATGGGGTCTAGGGAGAACAAGGGATGTATACGCGAAAAGCGATAAAGCAATATATAGAGTCTAATAATCAACGCGGTTATGTACTATTAATCAGCATAATATATGAGGAGAATTGAATAGAATGAATAGTCTAGGTTGTCAAAGAGAGGAATATTTACTTGGAAACGAGTTGTGTCAGCAGGGGAGACAATCGTGCCAGCCACGGAATCTGCATGGGGAGTAATGTTTTGACGACGCATACTTAACAACGGCACGTAGGGAGGCGTTGCCAGCTAGGTATATAAGGCGCGCCGAACTGCAGCACAGGAAGTGTTATTTTTCAGGTTAGGTTTAGGTAGGAAGAAGAAGAGGAAGAAGGAGAAGAAAGAAGCATTTTAGGTCCCGGGGAGATAGAAGAGGGAATAGGTGCACGGGTTTTCAGGTAGGTAGAACTACGAGTACAGGGAATAAAACGGGAATGAAAGAAGCACGGGATTTCAGGTAGGTAGAGCCAGGAGCGACTACGAGTAGGGACCGTGATTTTCCGTTTCAAAAAATTACCAATCATGAATTCCGTTCCAAAGTAAAGAAAAAATGGAAATTCCGTTTTCCATAGAGATTGTACACGCCAAAAAATGCAAAATTCCGTTTACATATATTTGCATGAAAAAAAGTATTTAGTACAACCTTTGAAACCGGAACCGGCACCGAAACACAGGGCTACCAAAAGTCGTAATTGTAAGTCATTTCGCTCTGAAACTTGTCTGAATGTAAACCATATCATTACCAATGCTATTGTCGACTGTTTTTTTGTGATTTTATTGAAATTTCCATGTTGTAATATGTTCAAATTACGTTTTCCGCATTTTTCCGTTTGAAAACATCGTTTCCGTTTCCATTGGCCGTTTCCGTGTTTTCCGTCCGTTTTTCCGCGATCGCGGAAAATCACTGTCCCTATACGAGGGAGACACCCTTGGAGGCTACCTAGGTCTACACGAAGAAAGGACGACGGGGAGAGGGGAAGACGAAGCTGACGACGGGTTAATTCGTTAATATTAGTCTAGTGGTTAGTTAAACAACATAACAGCGCTTCACGCTGCACTGATAATCACAATAACGACAAACCAGATAACTTATAACCCAAGCTAAGTAGCGTAAGCTACATATCCAAGATAAATACAGATCCGCGGCATATACGAATGCAGGGGAATTATTTGTAAGCTAGTAAGAAACAATAAAACTATAACCGTACAGTTAACTGAATATAACTGTGTTCTGTTTCACTGGTACAACCTGTTATACGCTACTGCATCACCGGAGCGACCAATGAATCCACACAACTAAACACGCGTTAACTATATAACGCCTGTCATATGATACCATAGTCGGCTACCCCCAAGGGCTAGGCTCATAGGGTCTATGTCCCCCAGGGTACTGCCGGAACGTACCCTGGGTACGGTCCGGTATACCGGAACGTACCCTGGTCACTATTTGATATGGTTAGGGTTAGGATTAGGGTTCGGGTTAGGGTTCGGGTTAGGGAGTAGGCGACTCCCTAGACTCGTTAGTGGAGTAGACGAGGTACGGTTCGGCATATTAGATAGTACCAGGGTACGTTCCGGTATACCGGACCGTACCCAGGGTACGTTCCGGCAGTACCCCGGGGGACATAGACCCTCTCAGCGCCACTACAGTATCATTGCAAAGGATTTTATGTTCCTACAGATTTGCCAGATATGATGATGTTGCTAACCTGATAAATACGGTCAATCTGAGCCTGGGTTGTAATGCTAGGGGCTCAGGGATAGAGAAGATATCCAATCTTATCAGCTAACATCATCCTATCCAATCACCGTACTGGACATCATCTCTATCCTTGATCCTAATTGACTTGTATGGCCCAAAGATTATAGTGCACACAAAATTTTACAATAATTATTACATAGGACACAAATCAAACTAAATACCCTCATCGTCTGTGTGTGAATCCTCTCCACTTCCTAAACTTTCGTCGGAGCTAGATTCGTATCGCGTGTCGATGGACGCCGCCATGATGCCTGACTAGTGTCGCCACTCGGCGGGACAAATACTTGTTTTTGCAACAATGCCGCGATTTTTAAATCGCAGTGGCTACCACTGATCTCTATTTATAATTATACTAACAAATATACGTAAATATACAATATATGCACTGCTGCCGTCTATCCTTTCATCCGTCCTCTATCGCTCTCTCTCTCTCTCACACACGCACACGCACAGGTCTCTCTCTCTCACACACACACACACACACACACATCTAGCTCTCTCGCACGCGCACGCGCACGCGCACGCGCACACACACACGCACGCGCGCGCGCACACGCACACGCACAGGTCTCTCTCTCTCACACACACACACACACACACACATCTAGCTCTCTCTCTCTCTCTCTCACGCACACACACACACACTCGGCAATCAGCAGAGCGTCCCGTTGCGCAATCATGCGTGTACGTGTTGCAAGATCAATGTGTAAGATGGATGTCCGGATGCATAGCCTAGCGGCTCCTCGTCCAGAACCGGTCGCGTAGCAACGGCCTAAATATATAGCAGGTAGGAAATCGTGCTGCCAAAGTTTGCTCGACGCTCGCTTGATTTCATACGAATACAACACAAATATTCCACCATTCAATTGTTTCTATTTGAAGAACAGTGTTCACTTGTTATAAAAACATACTGTCTGTGTTCGTAACCAAGCTGTGTCACGCGAAATCACCAAAGCCTGACGAAATTCTCGCGTTCGCTCCATTTGCGCAGTTTATGTAAATGGCTGCAAGTACAAAGCTATAGGCGGCGCACTGCATTTTGGGTAACTACCATGCTGCTTTCCAACTCCTGTACGAGCCTCGTCAAAGTTGCCAGTGGAGCGTTGCAAAAACGTTGCAGCATTGCGGCGCAAAAATGAGGTCACGAAGAGCGCCGGTGGGTGTTTCTTGATTCCGACAGCCATTTAAGAGAGAGAGAGCGAGAGAGGACGGATGAAAGGATAGACGGCAGCAGTGCTCCTGCCTAGCTATAATATAGGACGTAGATGGTGGACGGCCAAGTGGGTATTTTTCCTACTCTTGTTGGGTTACATTATTGTATCTAGTATATGATGCACGTGCTCTGGTAGAGAGAAGGTGGATGTAGAAAAGAAGGTGCGAGATGCAATAAGTAGAGGAGGAACATCGATAAAGTAAGGCAGCCCTCAATAAAAGAGAGTGAGGAAGTACGTCGAGATATGGGGCCCGAGAAAATGGACAAAGTGGTGGTAAGTGGGACAGAATGTAAAGATACGTGATGGAGATAAAGCTCTAAATCTTTTCCCCTGCCACTCCTTCCGTCTCCCCCTCTCCCTCTGTTTCGTTGCTTGTATGCGTTGTATTAATTGTATTATGTAGTTTTCCACTTGTGGTGCACTCGCTAATTCAGTCGCGGGTTGTACTCGATTATCATTATTGTCATTATCATTATATATTATATTAGGATTATATTCTTACAAAGACTAGACTAGAGATGAGAGTAAAGAGAAGAGAGTAGAGCGTAAAGGAGTGGAGAGTGGAGTAAAAAGGAGAGAGTAGGGTTAAAGTAGGCGAATTACCGATTTTGAACCTTGTGATGCGATAATATAACAATTAACAATAATTCTAGGCTCACAACCCAAATACAACCAGCAACAGCCTTTTAACATAAATTTTAAATACAGCTTTTTTATATTTAATATATCACTCGTAATATCCAACAACAATTTAGACGAATTACAATATTACGCTATTACAATATCCTGGCATCGAACATTCGCATTATAAGGCGTCGCACACCAAGTCTAGCACCTCCTTCTTCGGGTAGACACCGACCATCGAACCACGCTGTAGGGATGAGGTTGATCGAGGGCTGGCGACCAGCATGTAGACCTGCGCTTCCTTGATAAACTGGTGGACGGTGTGTACGCCGTTAGCGTGTATCACTAGTGCCTCTACGAAGTTACTCGAACCTGCCAAAAGGAAATATCGAATGTAAGCAATAGTATTAGTATATATACCTGCCTGCGTAGGTTTACCTGGCTATACTTGCCTACCTGCCCGCGTAGGCCTACTCGCTATACCTGCTTACCTGAATACTTGTAGACGACCACCTGTAGATCGTCTTCGACCACGGTGAGCAGCAGCTCGGGTTTCCTACCGATGCTGATGACCTCTAAGTCTATCGGACTCGCAAACGGTATCTTGTTGTTCCATTTGAATTCCCCGGTGTACAGGTCCAACTGATACACCTGCGAATGTACATACGGCCAAATGTCTTAGATAGATCTTAGATGAATAGCAGAGATGTTGAGAAATGTCCAAAGCGAATTGTCCATGCAGCCAGGGAAGTGGCAGCAACAGCATTTATAAAAGAATTCCGTGACGATTCTTCATTCGTTCATTCATTCGTTAAAGGAAGCATTCAATGACGATACTAAAGGGGTTATTTATAGGTTATGACCCCCCTCCGTCCAACCCTAGCACATGGCATGTTCCTGATAACGAACTGCACACTTACCTTAACCTGCTTTCCGACGTCGCCTCCATACAACGCAAACAACAAGAAAAGGTCTACGCCGAAAGGAGCAAAGCTGACGTCACTGCACGTTGGCGCCAGCACTCGCTGCATTTCGCCAAACTGAAAAATACAAATCACACTTGGAGTGAATTCATGGATTTTTTCTAGAAGATCAGGTTTTCCCGCGGTATAATATCCAGAGAGCGAGAATTTCATCAGCGATAAAGAAGAATTACTGCGGTGAAAAACCGCATGAGTGACCTACCTCCTCGTCATAGGCATTCCATTTGTAGACGATGGATTCTGTGGTCAGTTGCATACGTGAGTCGGCGATGGCAAGGTAGACCTCTCCTAGATGCTCGTACAGCGCCACCGAGCTGACACCTGAAAGCCACCATGTTGAATTAGCGATAGGCCCCTATTACTAATTATTATTTACCGACCTCAAAGTGGATAGCGACGAGTATATAGAATATAATATACCATATAGAACAACGAACAAAGTATCCCACGTACCCGTTGATAGCTAACCCCCGCCCTGGTATCCGAGAAAACCCCCCAACGGAACAACGCTTAATTGCAGCCAACGCAAAACGCATGCCACAGACGATGGCTCACCATTGATGGCGAAACTCTGGTGGATCGTGAAGACTCCGCCCACCAGTTTGTAGAGGTTCGTCGTGCTTTCATCCGACATCGTGCCGGCGACGACGTACAGGGTACCGCCGAAGATCGTCAGTGCTACGTCGCTGATCGACGACTCCGTGCTCAGTACGGCAACGATCTCGCGCGTCTCCAGGTCTACCATCACCGTGCCGACAGCCTCTGCAGGAGAGATCTCATTGCGGTGAAAATGTCGGTAATTTTATCCCGCAAGGACTAACCGTTTGGTCGCCTATAGCCGGACAGACGGACAATCATCGAAAATGCTATGAAACTCATCAGTGTTACGAGCGTCATTACTGCGAGCGTTAATATATAGTAGCATTAATAACATGGTGACAGGAAAGGACAAACGTACGTTGTTATAACAACGTGGTTTATTGTATAGAAAGGAGAGGTGACAGGCATACAGGGAAGGTTGGTATAGAATCCCTATATTACATTACAGAAAAAAGGGACCCTACAGGGAACACTAAAATAGTAGTGGTACCGTGGTAGGTATATATAAGAACCGTAGCACGCACCTGGAACATTCACGCAGCTATCTGAGCCAATGTCCACTACGATAGCGTGAGGTTTGCCGTTCCACATAAACGTTTCGAATTCGGACGTAGCTCCTCCTCCAAAGGGCAGGTCGACTGCGAAAAAGACACCAGATCAGAATGTAACAAGCTGCTGGTCAATCGCCATGGAAAGCGGCGTTTATTCATTATACTACTGATGGGTAAATAAGTAGGCGATTAGGCGGTATAATTACAATATGGAGTCGTGATGTGTGCTTGTAAATATGTCATTGACAGAGAGTGATAATAATTACCAGGTGATGTCAACTGAGACGTGTCAGTGTCGAACACGTATTCCCGCGCCATCGAACACTGTCCCCACTCTCCTCTAGCCATCAGCACCTTGGTGGTTCCGTTCGTGTCGACGTAGCTTTGGAAGGCGGTAGCAGAGGGCAAATCTTGCATGATGTTGAAATAATCCAGCTCGTAATAGGTATCTGGTGGAAGGTCATAATAAAGCAAAGTAAGTCCAACAGTATCTGCAATGAGCTCATCCTACCTCATCTACTAGTATACGATCTAGTGCTATTCTACACCAAGCTCTAAACCGCCACACGGTACTGCCTCAACTAACCAGAAGAAAATTATCAGCTTGGTATATTATTCAGTGGGAAAAGCATCAATAGAAAAAGTATTCAGAAGGAAAGCATACTTAGCACGTTGCTATACAGGTCGTTGACTGCGTTGCATTGATTCTTTGTTTCCGATTGCAAATCGGGTTTGTTCAGCTGTATTGTCGTATCCAGTTGATAGACCAAATTGTGCAAATCCTGTGCGAAAGAAAATTGTACCAAAGAGTGATAACGCCCGTCATTTCCCGAGCAGTACTAGTTCAGTACCCCAGATAGCATTAGGAAGAACTTTCGACTGTCCTAAGAGAGGGATCGCCGTACCTGGATTTGGACGGAGTCAATGAGACCGCTGATGGTCACGTTGGCGTCAAAGGTGACAGGCTCTTCGAAGAAGAAATTCTGGCTGAAATCCCAGGTAGCGATTACGGTTTGCGGCGAATCTCGGAAGACAACCTTTGAAAGTTGCGTCGCAAAGTCCCGGTCAATGACGTTACCTGCCAATATATGAAATTGTGAGGAATTATAAGGGGGTTATTAGATGGTATTCGCGGTGTTTTCTTATAGCAAACTAGCAAACTCTTAAGTATTCCGTATTATGTATAGGCAAAGTATAGCTGGTATCAGTAGTATGCATAGTATAGTTTTATTGTATATATTTAGTTATAGCATAGTGTATATTGTGCTGGTAATTGACAAGGCAGCGTGAGGAGTACCGGTGACAATGAGGTTGTTGTTGACGGTGACCGCATTCGTGAAGGTCTTGCTGCCATCGAAGCTGTAGGTGCCATCTAGAGACACGGCATCGGCGCTAAGGTTGATACCATCTACGGTCGCATCAACGCTTACGGCACTTCTAAATACGGCGTCAGCCTAGAAAACGGCAATATTTGGCAATCGGAGTGAAAAACTATGCATGCGTTCTGTACAATTAACCGTATAATAGGTAAAATAATAATAATAATTATGTTAATGGTAACAATAACAATAAAGTACATATTAAGAGAATGCGTACACAATTTATCGTGCTCTACTCTGCTTATTACGGAATTAGCAAAGACACTATACCAAAAATGTCTTGGCTCCGGATATAGTTTGGTTTCCGTACGTCTTCAGCGTGTCTGCCTCCAACGCTGCGATATCAAAGCCGTTCACTGTGCCAGACGCTCCGGATAAGCTTATGTCCCCAGTTACGTGAACGCTAGAGAAACTCTTCAAACCGGTGATGTTGGTGGGGCCTACAATGTATCACAAAAATAATGGTAATTGCCGATATTTACTATCATCATTACTATCATCATTACTATCATCATTACTATCATCATTACTATTATTAATATTAACAGCATTGGGCTACCTACCATCCAGGGTGATAACTTGGTCAGATAGTTTCACATCGTTGACTGTCGTTGCGACGGATATGTCGCCTTCCACCGTCAGCGTATTTTCAAACGTCTTCACACCTGCACGCAATTAATCAGTGCCTCGTGTCAACACGCGAGATCCTACAAGCATAACTTCCCTCTTACTCCCGCTATGCCGTTACGGCAGCAGTGAAATTATAGTAAATATTATATATAATAGTATATAGTATAGTATATGTAGCCCTTTGCTTTGCAACCTGTCGTGTAACGAGGGGTGGCTCACCAGCTATCGTCGCATTGCGGTCTATGTAGACAGCATCTGTCGCCATTTGGCTGACGTTAACACCGGCAATTAGTCCGCTGGTGACAAGGTCTCCCGCGATGTCCAGATTGCCGTAAACCCACAGGTCACTGGTGAACGTCTTTGTACCGGTGACAGTCTACAACAAGTATAGAGAATATCCAGATCAGGCTCAACCACAAACCTGATGATTGGTGATTCTAGAGCAAATACGGAGCAATACATACAATTATAACCTTACGATGCGATCTAGGTAACACGCACGATGAATTCAAGCAAGTGGGTAAGTGAGGAATGGAAATGGAAGTAACGTGCACTACCTGAATCTCGTCGAGCTTCATTGCATCGTCGTTGACGGCAGACAAATCTTTGGAATTAGTGTTATTAATAACGATCACCTTTTTCAGATGGACGACATCGCCTGCAAATAATTTCGAAAGACGCTCGAGACGAAAACACCCAAACTACGATGCAACACACCGCGACACACAGAACAACGCCAATACTAGCAAAATGCCAGCGCACTGACGCAACGAATGTTAATGATTCACACATATATATATATATTTATTTATTTATTTATATACATATGTACCAGTGAATGTCGTGTCGGCAGTTATGGTGGCATTCGTGTCAACGTACACAGCGTCTTCTACCATGGATACCAGGTCCTTGCCGTTGATCAAGGTATCAGCAGTTAACGGCAAGTCCGAGGTAAATATGGCCCCTGAAAATGGATTTAACGGGTTAGGATACAAACAAGGTAGTTTAAAAACAAAAGGATAATGCAAAAAAGACACTTTTGCAAAGCGCAATGTTATTTTACACTTACTATTGTTGAATGTGATTGGTGCAGAAATGACATTTAGGCTGTTCTTTTTCACCACTGATGTATCAAGGTCCCCAACGTCGATGCCATTGATGGTAGAAGTGCCATCGGCAAGCAGGTTTTGTTGCACGGCAACGTCACCAAATGTGTTAGCGCCTGCCAATATCAAAATGCATGTTAAGAAACCAGTCCGTTGCGCCATGGGTGGGATTGGGTGCATCCATGGGTGGGATTGGGTGCATCCATGGGTGGAATTGGGTGTATACATGGGTGGGTTACATAAGTTCATTATGTTAAAGCGTAAAACTGTACCTCCAATGTTCTGTGTTCCGGATTTTGTCATTAGCTGGTTTTTGATGGAAATGCCATTAACCGTTGTCGCATTGATATCTTCATCGGCCGTAAACGCAACCAATACCTGAAATGATGCAATTTAATCAATCAATAATCAATAAGGTTACCAATCCATCCCTTTATGAAAGAATTTAATCATCATCAATCATCATTTACAGAAGTCTGTGCACTTACCGTATCACCAGTCACGACCTGGTTGTCCGTGGTGTTTCTCAGGACGGCGTCAGCTGCTAGAGCCGTTAGATCGACTCCATCTATGTTTCCATTCACAGTAATGCCACCTGTCATCGTAACGCTCTCACTGAAAGTCTGCAAAGTGATACAAATACATTTATGGGCGAAAATCATTTCTATACATCAAATTCACTATATAAACCGCCTCAAATACTCCAAAAACCTACCGTAACTTTGCTGATGATGTTGTCAACATCCAGGAACATAGATTCGCTCGCCAATAGAGAAAGATCTACGCCATTGATACCACTTCCCAGTGTTACATTGTTCGTTGTTGTCACATCTAAATAATACAAGGAAAAAATGTTTTTAAATACAATAAATTGAAAACGGAACGGAAACCAACACCGTTTCCCGAATTAAAACCTAAAAAGTTCCTTCCTACAAAAGAAAATCTTATTCGCTTAGAATTTCGCTTGCCAGTAAACGTATTAGATCCGGTGAGGGTTTGTGAAGTGGACTTGGTCATCACTGATGGCGCAAACACGTCCATGTCGACACCATTGACCATTCCATCGATGTCTAGGTTCCCCAACACGCTGACCTGATTCGCAAAGGTGTACTCTCCGTACAGGTCCTGAAATGCCACGAGCATTGCAAGTTTCAAAACTCCGTAAGCACCGAAGTTTGACATTCTCCAAGATGATTCCGAGTCTACGAGAGTTTCATAACTAACTGAACTGACCGACACATGTTTCATAAGCACGGATGTTGCCATTAATTTCGTTGTTTCTCAGCAGGACTCCAAACGGATATGGACGCGCAATCAAGTATGTATAGTCAACCTACCTGCGCAGTGCTCAGAGTAACTTTGTTTGCTGCTAGTTCAGCAATGTCAACTCCGTCCACAGTACCGGATGTGGTGATGGTGAGGTTCACCGCTATGCTTGCTGCTGACATCGGCGCAGCGAACGTCTTTGTTCCTAGAACACCATACATATATACTTAACACCACATTACATCGCATGCTCTGTGTTTGTCTAAGAGCGAAGCGAATTAAATGAGTAGGAGGCCCCCTATATGTGAGTGAATAAAACATGCACTGACCTGTGATGTCGAGAGGATTGACCTTGGTCACGATCTGATTTATGTCTATTCCATTGAGAAGTCCGCTTACATCCATGGCACCATTAACGGTCTGATCTGTTGTGAATGTCTGAAAATACATGTCATTATTATTATTGGTATTATTATTATGATAATGATTATTATTGATATTAGAGCCTATTATTATTATCATTAGTATCATGATCATCATTGGAGCGATAATTATGTACCTTAACTCCACTGATGGTCTGTTCAGTGGACAGAGTGACAACTTCATCGGTGAAGTTAGTAATGTCGACGCCGTCCACAGTACCGAAGACGTTGATATTTTTCAGTGCATTTACCAGGTTAAACGTCTTAACGCCTGGAAGAATCGAAAATCGTGGGGATCATGAATATAATTATGCACGTTGACACAAAGCGCCTGGGTCAGAAATACGTGGGCGGCGGGGGAGGTTTTTCAACTGGGCTTAGAGAATTAGAGAGATGACGCCATGTTAGCAATGGACTGGAGCACAAAGGAAGCACGCATCTCACCTGTCACCGTCTGATTGGTAGTGACATCTAGGAAGTCACCGGGAATGTTCAACGAGTTGACCGGTCCGAGAGCTTGCAGTGCAGCTATGTTCAGATTGCCGGCAAAGGCCTTCGTTCCCGTCACGGTAGCGGCTGTCAAGTCATGAATTACGTGAATGACATGCCAATGATAATCGTTCATACTAAATAACGGGACAATACGTATGTTTGGACAATGTGTATGTTGTGACTACCAGCAGAGGTATCCTGAGAAAATGTCCATGAAGATGGAAGTTAATAAGTTGGAATAGGAATGGGCAAAATCTTGCAGAAATTCACCAGAACCGCCTCATATCGGAACCGGATCAGAATTTACCGGAATCGGAAGCGTATATAGTGTCCGCCTCGACTGCACTCAGATCGATGCCGTTGATGTCATCGCTCTGCAGGTCATTCTGAATTACTATTTGATCGTGGAATGTCATTGGAGCTGAAAAGAGAAAACATTTGACGTACAATCTATATCCATGCATTCAAACGACGAATAAACTGCACCTAGCTGCAACATCCATCCAATTTATCCATTTATCCATCCATTTATCCATCCATTCATCAATCCATTCATCCATTCATCCATCCCCTCTGCAAACTGTGAAAGGGCACGACTCGCTGAGAATAACAGCTACAAAAAATGCACAGTAATGTATGAACGCAGCGTATGTGTCTGCGATTGCTCGCCCACCTGTGATCGTCTGCGCAGAGGACAGCTTCACGATGCGCGCGTCTAGCTCTGACGTCAGACTCACACCATCCACCATTCCTGCTACGGTCATGTCTCCCGGCACGCTAATGCCATCCGTGAAGGTCTTAATCCCACTGATAGTTTGATTACCTAATAAATAATAATAATAATAATAGTAATAATTAAAATAAATATAAAATATAATAATATAAAAAAGTTTAAAAAAGGAAAACATCAAGGAATCATAAATATTTCTATAGTTATTTAACTAACATTTCTAAGGGGTTAGACACGTACGGTCACATCTGTACATACCAGTGAGAGTTACGGCTTCCTCGCTTAGATCGTAGCCATCCACGGTGACCGAGTCGGCCATTACAGCTGTTCCCGATAGTGTCACGGCAGACGCAAACGTCTTAGAGCCAGTGATGTGCTGATCGGCTGGCGGAGGAAGAAATCCGTAAGTGTATCTCCTGAGTAATGTTGCGGGTATATCTCGAGCAATGTTGCGGGAATATCGTGGATAATGTTCAGGGAATATCGCGAGTATTGTTGCGGGTATCCTGAGTAATGCTGCACGTATATCCTGATTAATGTTTCTATGTAATATTACAGGACCATACCAGTCGTGGACATGACGTCATCAATGGCGATCCCCTTCACGGTGGTCTGGCCAGCGACAACGATATCTCCAGTGACGGAAGCGGCAGCCGTGAACCTCTTTGTGCCGGTGATCTGTGACGTCACGTTCAGTCTCACCGTGTTATCGTTAAGGTCGGAGACGTCAATCGAATTGATGTCCCCGCTGATGTCCACACCATTGTTAACGGTGACGGTTCCACTAAACGTCTTGGTATCTGTCGTGATAAAGAGTTTGATTGTACGTCACGCCATGATCTAATTACAGCCTCGAATGTTACCAGCCGTAAACAATGGTAGAGATCGTCTCAAATGTACATCAGGCCATGATCTTACAGCCTCGAATGTTACAATGGTAGAGATCGTCTCAAATGTACGTCACGCCATGATCTTAGAGCCTACCTGCAATTGTTTGGTCGCCCGACTTTCGCAGCACGCGGGGCTCGAGCATGTGGAGGTAGAGGCCTTGAACGGTGCCGTTCTCCGGGAAGGTGACGCTCCCGGTCACATCCAGCGTGTCGAATGTCGGAGAACCTATATAGAGAGAGGGTGAAAGAAATGGAGAGAGAGATATGGCGACAGAGAGAGAGAAGGGGGATATGCCGAGGAGATATGGCGAGAGAGATGGAGAGCGAGAGAGAGATAGCGAGAGTTATGCACACCAAGACTATAACAATAGCAGTGTATTAAGCCCGGTCGCATGAGTTAAATTACTCAACGAAAATCCGCCGCAAACGTGAGTAAAATAACTCACGTGTGCGCCGGGCTTTAATGTTGGTATAAACAACCAAAATGACGATATCGTTGTGCCGATGGCGTCATGTGCAACCTGATAGTAGTAATGTTACCTGTGAACGTGCCTCCCGTCAACAGTATGGTTTCGCTAGAGATATCGATACCGTTAACCGTCCCCTCAATCCCAACGTTGCCAGCAACTGTCACCGGTGCAGTAAACCTTTTTTGTGCTATAATGAATATATATAAATAATAAATATATGCTAATAATATATCAATAATATACACACACAGTATACAGGCCCGTAGCCAGCTTTATATTGGGTGGGGGAGGGTTCGTTTTTCAATGTTGGCAATTTGCTCGGCAGGGGCGTGTACAGGATCTGTACCAGGGGGGTCTAACCGTAACCAGAAATTTTTTTAAATTACACCCCCTCAGATGCGTTTTCTGAGCGAGCAAGGGGGGGTCCGGACTCCCTGGACCCCCCCTGTACACGCCCCTGCTCGGGCGCGAAGCGACCAGGCGAGGGAGCCAAGCGACCGAGCGGGGGGAGGGTGTGGGAGGGGGGTGTTCACTGTTCACCCTCCCGCACGATGGAGATTTTGCAATTATTACACTAAAATGGAGCGACCTTTCTTGCAAATTTAAAAAAAAAAAAAATTTTGCTTTGGGGGGGGCTCGGGGGGGGGGGTTCGTTCGAACTTCCCGAACCCCCCTGGCTACGGGCCTGGTATATATATATTATTCATAACACGTGAAGAATGTAGCGCAAAACCCACGAGAGTTGACAGGTACTTTCCATAACATCACCTTTACGATTACATTATATCATATATTGCCGTGTAGCCATGTGACATCAAGATATTAAATCTTCCTACCGGTAATGTTCTGGAGCGTGTCTGTGAGAACTATTTCCGTTTCCGGGTCCACTCCCCCAGCAGGAAGTCCTACTCCCGTGAAGCGATCCAGGTGATCCACGTTTCCGGTGATATCAACGGTTCCCGTGAAGATCTTCTTACCACCTATGACGCCGGTGCTTTCAGTTCTGAAATTAATAAAACAAATATTAATTAATTAATTAACCCAGTCACATCTCTTAAATGCAAATCTGAGGAATGGAAATTGGAAATGGAAGGATGCTTAATAAAAGATAAATTTGCTTAATATAAGACCAGTGTCACGACCACGATGGTTAAAGGTTGTATAGTAGCTCACGTGATGGCATCGGTGTTTAATTGGCTGATGTCGACGGAATTTATGGTGGAAACCATCAGGTCTGTCGCGGTCAAATTGCCGTTAATGTCAACTGCACCAGTAAACACTACATTTGAGCTGGTCACAGTCTGCGAAGCTCCATCAAGCAAAAGAGAATCTGTAAAAATACATTCGAATTTCGTAAAATGTCGTTTGTTTCTTTTATCGTTAAAATATATGCGCTATCGTATCGCGCTGTTGGTATATAAACCATCAAAGCCAAATCGGATAATACACTGCCACACCATTTTCCCGTTCATGGCGCGGTAAAGCAGAAATGAATTCGTACCAGAAATGGTGGTTGTAAGGTTCGCGATAACAGCAGCCTGGGCTGTCCCCTGTTCCTTGACATCGTGGAAGTTAACCACGAAATCACTCAGCGGCCTTGCTTCGTTATTTATCACGACATTTCCTGGAAAGCAACACCACACATGACCACCACATACAAGGAAACAAATCTAATCTTTAATACGTGGAACAGATTCACTTTCAGGGCTAGATATTTAGGCCAAATGCAGATTCACTTTCAGGACTAGATATTCAGGCCAAAGATCTTTCCATCGCCGACGTCAAATGTACGAACACACGTACCGCTCGTAACGTTCATAGAGTCTGCTCTTAATATCGTATTAACGGTCAAATCTCCCGTGATGACCTTCGTCACTGCTGATATCGTCTGATTCGTATCTGTTCTCAGTGCATCATCGAACTTGGCTCTGCTGGTCGTCACGTGCTCATCGTGTTCTGTCAGGTTCGCCTGCAAACGAAATTTCAGCCGTGTGAGTGAATTGTACCACGTAGAATATTAGGTTACGTAGTCAACAACGCACACGCAATACAAACGCATTAACCTGATCATTTCAACCTGCGTGGGTGCTTTTAGTACGTGCACACGCAAATGAAATACTAGAAGCCTAGGGGCCTTTTGAGGTTCGTCCACTACTATGCTCTTTGTGGGGAACATGAGAAGGGGCACACCTCTATGAGATCGAGCTCGTGGCTGACGCGGAGAGCCTGCGTCATCATCGGATCCTGCAAGTCCTTCACGCGAACGTTGAGGTCATGTAGAGTGCAGTGGTCCTCTCCCGTGCACACGACAGCAACCCGGCGGCCGTGCATCGTGCACGAGTCGAACGATCCCGTGGGACCGATCGTCACTGCAGTGTGAAACATAAAAGATCTCCATTAAATAATTTATAATGAGTCAAAACTATAAATCGGGAGGGGGGGTCGGACGCTCGGTATGGTCTGTTTTTGCTGGTTTTGCATTTACTATTGACGTCTTCGACTTGATTAATTCATTTTCTTTATTTCTGAATGTGTATCGTGTATAGAAGGTGGAAGGAGGAAGGAGTTTTCCATGTAAACAGGTGCTCACACTCGCACTAGGTACTGACACTCGCAACAGTTAACACTAGATACTCACACTCGCACCCGTTAGCAATAGATACGGACACTCGCGCCAGTTAACATTATAGATACTCACGCTCGTATATAACCTGGAAGGACTGCGAGGGCGCGACGCTGGACTTGTGTCTGTAGAAGCTGATGATGTTGTTGTCGGCTGTGCCGTGCATGATTCCCAGGAGGAGCATGTCGCCCCACAGCTGGTCGTCGCTCATCGCGCGCACGCTCATCACGTTAGCGACGTTTAGCGTCTGTATGGTGACGAAACTGAGACCTGCGCATAAATGATGTACGTACACAAAAAAACGACAATACAAAATGCAATATTATATATATACATATTATAAATTACATTAGTATTAATGTTGGCATTTGTATTGGTAGATATAGAGGTGGTGAACCATGGTCCATAGTCGCTTACCATTCCACTTGTAAATATCGACAGAAGTTGAGGTGGAGAGAGCCAGGTAGGTGCTCAGTCCGATAGTAAACCTCTCAATATTTGTCACTGTCGATGACGGTAGCCTATAGCGATAATGTACACACGCAACAATTACACGAATAACGAATTATAATCGACAATCTTCATCAGTTTTGAAGATCAAGCTTAAAAACGATGCAAGCCTACGATAGTATTGCCCGACCCTCCCTCCAAAGCAAGATGGCCCGCTTATCGAACTTACGTTTGATATTTCTCCATGCTATCCGTATCAGTGCTGTAATAGTACACCATGCTATTGATGGCGTTCCCTTCATCGTCGTTGCCATTGGCGACAGCCACATATATGGTCTTGTGAATCCGGAACACGGTGATGTCTTTAGCGTTGGTGGATGGGACGAGCGCGTACAAGGATAGATGAGGATAACCTGAAAGATTTGGGATACCCGGAGCTATAACGTACCCGTAAGTACCCGTACGGTGGTGGCAGTATATCTGTATAGGGGTACCCATAGCTGTAGTATATCCGTATAGTACGGGGTACACGTAACTATACCGTACGGTGGGGGCGTATATCCGTAAGGAAAAAGGGTTGCCCATAACTGTAGCATAGGCCTATCCATGCGGAAGGTACACGTAACCATATACCGGAATGTGATGGGGGTATATCCGTGTGGAAAGAGGGTACCAGGGGCGTGTACAGGATTTGTACCAGGGGGGGGGGTCTAACCATAACCCCAACTTGCGAGCACGCGAAGGGGGGGTCTGGGTTTTTTTTTAAATTAGACCCCCTTAGATGCGTTTTCTGCGCGAGCAGGGGGGGGGTCCGGACCCCCTGGACCCCCCTCCCTGTACACGCCCCTGGGTACACATAACTGCATGTAGCATGCCCATGCGGTAGGGGGATATCCGTGTGGTAATAGTAATGGTAATTAATGTATGGCACAATAAAGGCACCTATACAACGTAAAAGATAAAGGCGGGAAGCACTAAAAACTTGCCCATTTCGGTAAACTTGTAGAGCGGGCTGGAGGTAGAAGCACTCATAGCGATGGCCAGGAATCCTTCCCCTGGTGTCAAAGCGAAGAAGTTTGCTTGCACAATGTTCTGGGCCACCAAACTTTGGAAGTCGGACTGTGAAATAAAGAGACAAGTCAGTTGATGAGGCATGAGCTCGTTCTGCATGTATACGATCAACACAAAACACGCAAAAAAATTCCATTAAATCAACAACAGCGGGTGGTGGGGGAGGTTGGGGGATGCCGGTTAGGGAAGATACTAACATAATTATTTGGCATTGCTGGTGGGGTGCCTTTCTGATGGGGTGGACTATTTCCTACCCACCTCCCTACAAGCATGGATCTCCGTTAACAGTGTTAGATATTCTTATATGTACCGCAAACACTGGCTCCAGGATGTTCAAGAAGAAAATACTCACGGTTAGTAGATGTGTGGCTGGCAGCGACAGTTGGACAACTTGCACTGTGGTGTCGTTAGTGAACAGCACGTAGTTATTGGTCGTCGTTCCAGCAGAAAATACCTCCACCACTCGCATACCTCAAAAGATACGATCATAAAGAAAATATCAGTAACGAAAGCAGCAGCAACAAAAACGCAAAAATAGTAACAACAATACCATCATCGCCAGCAGCAGGAATAACGAACGACATTAATTAGTAGTACTAGGAGCACCAACAACTGCAGTTTCCTACATTAATTTATTACTAATTTCTCTAATGTTAAAATTCATTACATATAAATACATATTTACCAATACTGGAAATCTGAGACTGGTGGGTTATCTCCGTCAAGTTTGAGTCGAGTTCGTACAGAATGGGATAATCTTGTGTGGGCGTAATGATAATCCCCGATAATCCCTCTTGCTCGAAGCAAACTGAAGCCGTGAACGCCATCCCGCTGACGGCTGTGGTCTTTAGCAACTGAGTGCTGTTCTCAATCTCCAATTCTACGCAGGAAAACGGAAAAAACGCGGAATTAAAATTGCGAAAACTGAAATGAACTATATATTCGTGTTATCGCCCAATACATTGCTTCAAAGTGACACTAAGTTTGTAAAATGGATACGGCTCAAGGCTGAAGTAACTTCTTCTATAATTGTGACGCGCACGTTTTATGAATCATTTTGAATTAATGAATTACAATGAAACAATGAATTACTCATTGAATACAGGCAATCGTTATTATCAAAGCCTGTTCGATAATCAGTAAACATGTATATACTATCACAAAAACATCTATACAACATCGTAAAGATACGTCAATAATGCCACGTGTTCTGTGCCCTATTCCTGAACAACGGGGCTACCTGCTTTCTGGTCACAACATACGCACCCTGTCTGTTGCCGTATTTCGTGTCGAGGATGTAGCTGTGAAAGTAGTCAGCGTCGTTCGGGTCGGCACTTCTCTTCCTCCTCCGCATTTCATTAGCCTCGTAGTGAGACTCCTGAATCTCCAAAGCTGCTCGCTGTATTCGCGCCTGCAAGAGTTTGGTTCGGGTTCGCATAGCAAAATTGCGTAGTAATGCACCATTACGGGAATCCTCGTCTACGAACGCTAAGAACTGCTTTAAAAAAATTAGGTTTGTAACGAACGTTGCACGTAACAAATTATATATTCTTTGTTAATTATATTACACGTTGTTACTCATGCCTGTTGATGGGCGACACAGATACCAGATACAAGATACCTTCTCGCCCATACGCACGCACGCGCACTCATTTCGCGCTTAGCATACGTTATGCAAATCATTATAAGCTCACATGCATCTCTTTCATCTTGCTATCAATGAAGGTGTCGATGTCCATATCTTCGTAATTCGTGGCTGCTACCGGCGACCAACGATCCAGCCCCACCACCAACACCAAACACACCAGTACGAAGCTCTTCATTCTAACCCCTGGATAAATAAGACGAGGTGCAATCGTATAAACATATCTTCATCATAGATGAACCACTCCATTCCACACCATAAAGACTCCACGAAAATTACTGGGAAAACCCACAACAATAAATATAAAACTATATAACAACAGTAAACGTTGTAAACAAAATGTATACACACGCGTATATGTAAACGCGTATATATAATCAAGTGCTGAAACGTTCAGATGAAAAATATAATAAATAAGTTGGGAATTAACATAATAGCATATAACAGTTTAAAACCGGCAACATATGTTATATTTATAATAAATTACGTAGTACTACTAATATTGAACATAGAAGTATATACTTACAGTTGTACAAGGTATAGGGTACCTGTATAGGGTGTAAATAAACCAACCCAAGCCGTCTAAACCTCGACTGGTATAGCTGAAGATTTTTACTCAACTCGTTTTACTTATTCGACTCCGGTTATATACGTCGGGTCCAGCCCACTACCACGGGGGACGTCCCACGAGGTCGGTCTAACACACGCTTGACTTAGAATGCGGGCATTGTCGGTTGGTCACCCCCCCCCCCACCTCCCGTTCCGCCTCGTCGTCCTCTGCCGTCTGCTGACCAGCGGAAGTACGGGATTCACCGGGACTCGAACATGGTTTCTATCTAGGTGACCTTCGTGCGAGATTCGTTGCTGACCCGCCGTACGTTCGCGAACGCGAATTGTTGACATTGACGGCAGAAATACGGTTGAAATGTGAAGATTGGAATTGAATCACATCGTGGTGTGGTGTAGTGCGAGGGTCAGGGTTGCGGGGTTGCGTTCGCTTTATCTTACTTCAACTGGCAGTTTGTTGTACTCCGTCGTTACGGTTTTGCTGTGGATTATAGGCTTCGCCACTAAACACACATACAAACACACGCGCACGCACGCACGCACGTACGCACGCACGCACACATGCACGCACACACACATGCACACACACACACACGTATTGAATTTAGCGGTATATTTTGTCAGGTAACGGTAGGGGATTATTTTCTGCAGTGGTTTGCTTTAAGCAGTGGCCTGGACTCTATAACATCCACCACCTCCTTAAACAAACTACGTCCAGAGCCAAGATGTTATTTGTATAAATTATACAAATAATATGTGATGCTGCGCTATTTACATTACCTCCGCGCCCACACGGAGTTGCAGGGACCGGTTAATGTAATCGCCTCTCGCTGTGTGTGCTTTCGCTGTTGTGTGTTCGTGTGTTGTCGTATCGTGGTGTGTTCGCTGTGTTGTGTTTTCCTTGGGTGTTGCTTCGGACCGTCGTCCCGATGTGTGCTGTGTGTGTGTGTGCCGGCCCTGTGTTGTGCTGCTGCCTGTGTGTGTGTGCTGTGCCTGCTGTGCTGTGTGTGTGTCGTACGCCAGCACGCGAGCCAGCCCTGTTAGACACACTGTACTACAATGCTTATACACGCGTTGGCGCGATCGATCGACGCACCAGCT